TGTGTGTGTGTGTGTGTGTGTGTGTGTGTGTGTGTGTGTGTGTGTGTAGGTGTGTGTGTAGTCCTCTACCTGCCAGGTGGGGTCAGCATGTCGGTAGTAGCAGAAGTTGTCGGTGATCCACTTGTAGATGCAGGACAGGGTGATCTTGGTCTTCTTGCTGGCCTGCATCGCCATGCAGATGAGCGTCGCGTACGAGTACGGAGGCTTGATGCGCGCGTTGGTCTTGTAGTCCACCTCGTCGGGGCAGTGCCCGTGAGCCACGATGCCCGGGAGGGACTGCATCCGGCTGTAGGCCGCCGCCGTGGGCTTCCCGGGGGTCAGGGGCATGCCGATGGAGGCCGGGTCTCCGGCCAGAGGGGAGGCCGGCGCGTCGGAGCCCGGTGGCTGGTGGTGGGCCTGCGGCGGCACGTTGGCACCGAGGATGGAGAACTCCTGCAGCCACTGCAGGCTCGTGAGGCTGTCGTCCAGGTTGCTGCTGCTGCAGCTGCTGTTGTTGTTGTCGTTGTTGTTGCAGTGGACGCCGTCCCGCTCCTCCACCTGCACGGCCGCGGTCACCACCTCCTCCTCCAGCCCCACGGAGCCCTCAGGCCACGGGTCGGTGCAGCTCAGAGACAGCATGGCTCTCTGTCACCCCGCTCCTCCTCCACCCTGCCACCGCCTGACAGGACCGGAGACAAACAGCCGACAATAATTGTGAAAGAGCGGAACAATGAGCGGCCCGATTTAAAAACAGAGCCTCAGTGTGTGCGTAACGAGCAGGTGGGTTTAAATCCACAGGTGAGTCCGTCACCTGCAGGTCTGATGAGAACAGGTGGTTAAAAGAAAAGTGAGAATCTAAAAGTCTGTTCTGTCTCCGAGTCTCAGAACTTTCCTGAACAAGTGTGTTGCGCACTTTACGCATGAAAAGAGCGCACGTCATTACTAACGCTAATCTGCGGGCTTTAAATACGAATACATGTATTACATTGTTAAAGAAAAGTAAAAAAAAAACGACTATCAAATTGTGTTATTATAATTTAGATGAAATGTGCGTCGTTTTGAGGACATTTGCACATTTAGGACGTTTTACGCGTAAAATCCGCATATTTAGAACATTAATTAAGACAAATACAAAAATGCTGATTATTTAAGTTAAGTTAAACCTTCATTAGTCCCGCCGCGGGGAAATGTAATTATATATTTTTATAAAATAATATGCTTACAAGTGCAGTGCAATATATTATTATTTTAAAACGTGTTATTGCCCGGATGTAAATAAAATAAAAGCCTGTTATAATAAAGTTGAACTCACCTTTCTGTCCGCTGTGACGTTGAGTCGACACTTTATTTGTAATCCTGATCGATCAGACTCAGACTGCGTAAAAAGCACCAGAGGAAGAGTGAAGAAGAGGAGGATGAAGTCCTGCGAACGGTGCTCGGTCTCGGGACTCCCGGTCGGAGGAGTCGGTTTAATACCTGGTGCAGGAGGTTTGTCCGGTTACCGTAGAAACGACCCCCCCCCCCCCCTCGCAGGACTTCATCCTCCTCTTCTTCACTCTTCCTCTGGTGCTTTT